CGGACTAGTCCCGCCCACGTCAACAGAGCGCGCCCCGAGTCTCATAAATTGCATACCCGGTATTGTATTTGTAATAGCTAAAAAAAATGGTTACTAGACATTACAGATAACTTTGTTAGGACATTTCAGATAAACTACCCTGGGAAAGTGCAATATGTCTGGTCACAATATTCTAATGGGCTAAATGTTAGGACATTTGGTTCATCTCGCTCGTTAGCCTCTTCAAACACCTGACCTTGGCACATTATTTTCCAAATGATGTGTTAAAAAAGAAATCGTGTCTTCTCGTGTGAGTGTGCAAGCTGCAAACTAGGAGAATTTATGCTCCTTTTGTGAATAGAATGATGTGGAAAGGCTGGGGGAAGTATAATAAAATTGGTCTGTGTCATCTGTCCAGGCTTTAATCTGACAGTAGCTACTACACCCATGTTACATTTATTCTCTCTCAGTTTTCGTGGGGTAAAGTTTCATCGTTGCTGAGAGTTAAGTTTGTAGGGTATTTGTCTTGGGGCAGGAAATTTGAGGTCCACGAAAGCACATTATACCAGTTGTACTGTGTAATATGTCTTTATGAAACTGTGATTAATGATGACTTACGCATTTAAAGTTCTAGTATATTGTTATTCATAAATGTACATTTTAAAATAAATCACAGCCTGCTGTACCGTGCCCAAACTGTGTGAATTAATTGTCTGATTTTGATTAAATTTGGTATTTATACTCTCAAGTTCTGTACAGTAACATATCTTTAAAATGTATAAAACTCTGAGTAAGATATGAAATGAATATATGGCAGTATCTCAGAACACATGTTTCTGTACTGTCTTGTTGTTTGTGCTGTAGTTATGGTCAGTTACGCTATGTATATAACTTTGGCATTCAGAGGTCAGCCACATCAGATGTTGTAGGTTTTTCAAAATTTCTGAAAACATTACAGTCGTGTTTACCAAATGTTGGGAAACATACGGCATATGATACATCTTATCCCCGAAAGCTGAGTTCAAACACTGAATTGCTTGCATGGAAACCAAAAGACAATATGTAAGATTTGAGGTTTTCACAGCTGTGAGTATGAAGATTTCTGTCTTCTGGGTTATTGCGATGAATCGCCCTGATGACAGAGGCAGTATGACCTCTGAAAC